TATTGTACTCTGCTTGTTGATTTACTGTGAATATGGTATAAATTAGTTTATATATTAAGAGATGCATGACAATGTTTACCTGGCCAAACTTTAGTAATACAATGAGTGGGAAAATACTTCTATAAACAGGATCTATCTGTTCTCCATACATATATATTTATAATACTTTTTACAATGTTGAATACATTTCCCATCTACTTTATACATAAAATCTGTAGTGAACATACTTCTATCCTGAGAAAAGCCACATGCTCTCAAAATTTTAGCGTTAAATTTCAGTATCAGTAAATAGCATTTCCAGATTTTCGTAGTGTTTGGACAGTTTAGAGATTATAAGGAAAACAAATAACCAGAATAAAATTTGTAATCCAAACACCAAAACCTTGAGAAAAGTAGATGGTGCCTTTCCTTTTCCAGTCTCTGAAAAAACAGTGGCACTCTACAAGGCAGTGAGCCACTCACGTGTACTGACGCAGAGTGGTAAGATGGATTCACTGCTGTCGACAGAGTGTGATTTCACTATGGCATCATTAATGCCAGTTTGCATGCTGTGGAAGTGTGGAGGTCTGCTAGGACAGTCCTCACAAGTGTCATTGTTAGTGTCATCCTTTTTAGGGGAAGATGGAGTGTGATAAGGCCTATTAAGTTATGATAGTTACGTTATCTGGCTAGTTTTTTCTTTAGAAAAAAAAAAGATAAAAAATGCACAAAATCCCCTTGGGTAATTGTGAAAGAAACTCAGCTTTTACTGGGGTCCAGGCATTTTGCAGCAAGAGTGACAGCAGGAGCCCAGCTGTTTTATTTTGGCTTCCCTCCTCTGGGTCAGGTCCCCAGGTCACCCAGAGCCAGACCTTTGGGGTGTGAACGCAGAGCAGTGAGTGGCCATACACATGAACAGCATTGAAAGGAGATGTCCATCAGACAGATTTAAACATGCTTTTATTTCATAAACCTACTGAGAGCTTTTTCTCGTTTTCATTAGCCCTGAGACTTAACAAAGGAAAATGATCCAGTGCTCCCTCTCCTCTGAAAAATTTTATGTGAAAAGATGGAAAATATGCTCAGAATTTTCTATTGTTCTATTCCTTGTGCCGTTAATTGAGGTGGTTATTGAGCCAAATAAGATACTAACAGTATTAATTGATTCTAATATGCCCCCAATAAACTGAATTTGCTTTGCATATCACAGTGCCATTCCCAGGAAATTTATGGAAATATTTCTGCAATTTGGACCAAACCAAATAAAACAACACTGAAATCAAATGAATAATAAAAAAGTTAGTTTTATTTTACCCTAAACCATATAAACTTAATGAAATCATAATTAAAATAATGTAAAAGTGAGAAAGCTTTGTTACCAAGAATATTTTTTTTCTTAACATATTACATATCTAATGGAGAATCTGTGAACAAACATCTTTTATGTGTTTTCTATTTGTGCACTTTAAAATTTAATTATTTCAAAGAATATTTACCTATCATGCCACCCCTTTCTTATTACTTTCTTCCCCTTTCATTTCTACTAGTCAGTTTCTTATTAATATAGAGAAATAGTAAATCAAGTTGAAGGAAATGGCAGGATGACACAGTATTAAGTGATGATCGTGCAAGGATATAGATTACCTGTAGGTTTTAAAACACAATGATCATGAAAGCCACCTTGTATCTGCATTGTGACATGTAGTTCTGGAAAAACTTTGCATGCCTTTTTCATCTGATAATCACACTTGGTAACCACATCAGCCCCTGAACTCTATTCTGAGCAGGCTTGTTATCTCCATTTTAGGGATGAGTCGAAAGATCAAGACTTACGCTTGTAAATTTTATACAACTGTAAAAGCAAGACTATTTAATGAATAGAATAAAAGCAAAATTATCAGTCAAATAAAATTCAGATTAACATGTTAAATGATGCTTTCCTGAAATTTCTGCATCACTTCCCAAGTTCTGCCTGCTACAGTGAACAGCCTTTTGAGTGCTGGCATTTCAATACCACTATGTCCTGTGTGATAACTCAATGCTAGCACACAGCTTACTTCCAAATCCAAGTAGATCTTTAAGAGCATAATTTTCCTTAGGTGCAGTGGAACAATGACAATACTTGTCATGAGTTGAAGCACATGATGAATGCCACTTTCTAAACTTGAGGTCCACAAGTGAAAGAATAAAGAGGAAATGAAAGAGAAAAAGCTAACACATTGATTAAATAATCAAGTCAGCCCACATGCCAGTATAGATTGATTTGATTGATCTTGGTTGCTTTTTTCTAAGTAAAAGTAACTAAGCAGGCTCATTCTTACTGACTTTTTATTTGAACACATAACCTGATTCATGTAGCTGTATTGAGAATATTGTTTTCTCATAATCATTGTAATTATATTGAGTCGTTACTTAATAGGTTAATTAATTCATTTATTCCCTTCTATGTCCATATACCATTCTTTTCATGCTTGCTATATATGTAACAATTATAATGCATTTAACTACTATATATTTTAACTCAATCATTTCATGGCCATTTTTGGTTTTCTAATTTTTATATTAAGCATCTTTTTGGCATTCCTCCATGTGTGCATCCAATCAGTTGTAACTGCTGCATGATGTTCCATGTTGTACGTCCTCCACATTTTTCTTGCCCACACATCCATTGTTGTACAACCAATTTTCTCTACACAAAGTTGCAGTGGACATTCTCATACATACCCTTATGGACCTGAATTATGATTTCTCTGTTTATATTCATAGGAGTGGAATTGCTGGATGAGACGGTATGCACATATCTAACTTTACTAAGTAAAATCAATCCCCCCCGAAAGTCTAAATAAAATCTCCACAATAGGTGTCAATTCTGCAGTCCCAAAAGCCTTCCTGAGAATTTTTATGTCTCGAGCACAAAATGGTAGTTCATTGACACTTTAAATTTTATTTTTGAGGTTACAAGTGATTTTGAAGATATTATCATATCCTTATTAACATTCATGCTTTCTTCTTTTACAACTTGTCTGTATCTAATTTTTCTTAGTG